GAAACAAGATGGGATTGGGAGGGAGACAAACCATAAGTGACTCTTAATCTCACAAAACAAACTGAGGGTTAATGGGGGGAGGGGGGTTGGGGGGGTGGGATTATGGACATTGGGGAGGGTATGTGCTATGATGAGTGCTGTGAAGTGTGTAAACCTGGCGATTCACAGACCTGTACCCCTGGGGATAAAAAGATATTATATGTTTATGAAAAATAAAATTTAAAAAATAAATAAATAAATAAATAAATAAAAAGAAAAAAAAATATCACCTCATACTTGTCAGAATGGCTGTTATCAAAAATAAGAAGTAACAAGTGATGGTGAGGATATGGAGTAAAGGGAACTCCATGCAGTGTTTGTGGGAATGAAAAATGGGGTAGCCATTATGGAATATAGTATGGGGGTTCCTCAAAAATTAAAAATGCAACTACTGTACAATTCTGCAATTCTACTTCTGGGTATTTAATCTGAAGAAAATAAAAACACTAATTTGAAAAGATATATGCACCCCTACCTTCATCGTAATATTATTTACAATAGCCAAGATAAGGAAGCAACCTAAATGTCCACTGATAGATGTATGGGTTAGAAAATATTTTTTATATATATCATGTATATATATATATATATCAGCCATAAAAAAACTATGAGATCTTGCCATTTGTGCAACATAGATGGACCTAGAAGGTACTATGCTAAGTGAATAAATCAGAGAAAGACACAATACCCATGATTTCACTTATATGTGGAATCTAAAAAAAAAAGCTAAAAAAAAAAAAAACCCAAACAGAAACATACTGTAAATACAGAAAGCAAACTGGTGTACTGGTGTTTGCCAGAGAAGAGGGGATGGGAGAATGAAAAAAAAATAGCAGAAAGAAATTAAATGGTACAAACTGCCAGTTATCAAATAAATAAGACACGGGGATATAATGTACAGCATAGGAAATATAGTTAATAATGTGTAACAACTTTGTATGATGACAGATGGTTAGGGTCATTACCTTGCAATGTATACAAATGTTGAGTCACTATGTTACACAGGTGAAACTAATATAATATTGTTGTCAACTACACTTCAATAAAAAGAAATAATAATTAAAAAAATACTATTCTCCACTAAAAGGAGCTGGGGTACCTTGGAGAAATGATTGATTCTAGGACTAAGGCAGAAAAATCACATGAGTATGGAACATCTCATGTCAGAATATATGGAGGTGTTCAAAGAACCATGGAGATTTGTCAAAGGGACAAAAAACCAGTTTGAAGTGGCTCCCAATAGCCAAATCAGGGACAATTTGAATGCCATAAATAACAATGGTAGTAATTGGATTATAACCCAGTTAGTATAATTTGAAAACATGATTCAAAATTAAAATTGGAGTCATATTAGTATGCAATGAAAACAGACTCAGTAATGATTCTGTAACAAAGTTGCTAAAATGGATAACCTCAGTGTAGTTATGAGAGAACAATTTATAATCCTAAATCCTAAATTGAGGAAAAGCAAATAATCAGCCTATAATCATAAAACTTTTCAAGGTCATGAAAGGCAAGAACAAATGTAGATGATTAAACTAAGCGACAAACTTACATATTGAGAACTAAATGATTGATTGTGAACTGGATCCTATTGCTATAAAGTGCCAATATTTTGATGAAAGGGAAATTTGAATAGAATCTGAGGATTAGACATTAGTAATGTATCACTATTTCCTGATTTTGAAGGGCCTGCCTGAGGAGAATTCATTTCTATGTAAGAATTATACATTAAAATACTTAAGAGTTATTAAGATTATTTTTGGCAATTATTCTTAACTGTTTCAGGAAACAAAATTTATTCTTTAAACTATGTTGTATCATTTCCCTGAGATTTATATTACTATAAAATTAAAGAAAACATTAAGCAGTGCACTTAGAAATGTACAAATATAAGATAAAAAAGGATCTTGGACTTACAGATTTTATATACTCTATGTTGATATATTTTAATTGATAGATTTTGATACCAAAGACTAAGTAATTCTGATTTTTCATTAGCACATTAGTCATCTTTTATTCCTTCAGTTTACATAAATTTCCTAATGTTTCATTTTAACGATTACTTATTATAATGCTAATAATTATATTGACAATAAAAATGAAAATAAGATGTATTTAAAGAGAGCTTTTTTTGTGTGAAGCACTGTTAAGATTGGTAATATATTCTGACTCATGTCATTTTAACTTCCTCTATGTGCTAGATGTCTATTATATAAATTTACTGCTTTTATTTTTGACTTGCATTAGGAAAAAAGCACGTGAAACTACTACTACTCTATATTAACTAACTGGTATTTAAAAAAATCTTAAGGGGGGGAAAAAGCATTCTCCCCTCCTTCTTGGCTCTTCTGTACCTGAAGTGCACAGAATTCATAGTATTCTATTGAAGAGGGTTTCTTTGAAACTGATTTTATTCCATTTATCTGAAGAATATAATTTATTTTTAGACGTTCCCATGGTGTAAAGTTTTTTAGCAGTTGCAGCATGGATGAATTTAAACGTATGATTTCACAGCCTGAATTTGAATGTCTTCAGAATCAAATAGTTTCAGAAGTGGTTTACCAAGGAAGATACTCACTTTGTGGCAATGGAATTTTGGAACCGCCAGAACAATGTGATTGTGGTGGTACAGAGGTTAGTGATAAACCTAATAGCTTATCTAAAGATTTTTCTTTGTGTTTCTTGTGTAGCCTTATAGATGCAATATAAAACGGAAATACTCCCCCCCACAAGTGATGCACCACTTACCAAATATCTAAGGGAGCTATTGGGACATGTGATAATGGGCTTGTCATGAATTTAAAGCATTTGAAGAGTAAATAAGGGGTAAATGTAGCATGGATTAAAGAGGTAGATTTTCTTCACTGTGTAACCATTAATAGCAATATCCACTTTTCTGTATTAAGGTCAATACTATTACCATCACCTCAGTCATCTCCTGAACTCCTCCAAAGCAACTGCATTGGTTCACTAAGTTAATACACGTGTATTGTTTACCTCCTCATCTCCTAATTTCCATTCTTGCAACTGTGGGATCTTTATTTATTTTAACTCAACTTCACAGAATTTGATTAATAATAAATCTTGATGTGTTGTTTTTATATTTAGCTTTTTGCTATTACTTTTTTTTTTATTTGCACTCGGTAAGATGGCTAATCATTGAATTTTGTTATAACTGCTTTCATATAATTATAAATAGTGATAATTTTGAATATTTCCTACTTGATAAGATATAAACTGTTGGAAAAAAATTCTATGTAACTTGATTGTATTATAATTTTTAAGTTAATGACTCAAATATTCTATATTTTTATAGTTTCATTTGCTTGAACTCTCAGTACTTAAGAAATAATACTGATACCTCCAGCTATACAGTTGTATTTGCCTAATTCTCATTATAATTTACTCATTTTGTGCTTTGTATATTTGAATATTTTTATATGGTAAACATATTTACAATTTTTATATCTTCCTAGAAATTTAACATTTACCTTTAAATGCTGAATCTGTTTTTCTCTCATGTTGCTTTCTGTTTTAAATTCTCTCTGGTCTGGCATACATCTGTATCTGTGCACTCGCTTTCTTTAATTTGTATTTCCCTGATATTTTTAGTTTTTCTGTACTATTAAGTTCAATATTTTCATTGGGTTTTAATTTATTATTCACTCTGTCTTTGATTTATAGGATTGTCCCTGTAAACATTATTATGATTTTTTTTGCCTATTGTTTTAATTAACTAGAGTCCATAATTTATTTAGATTTCATTTGTTTTTACCTAATGGCATCTTTCTGTCACGGGATCATCTCCAGGATACCTCATTATATTTACCTGTTATGACTTTTTTTTTTTTTTTTGAGAATGTGGGAAATGGTCAAGGGAGAGGAAGATAGAGAATCTTAAGCAGGCTCCAGGCCCATCTAACAGAGCCCATAACAGAGCTGATCTCACAACTGTGAGATCATGACCCCTGCTGAAACTGAGTTGGACACTTAAGTGACTAAGCCACCCAGGCACCCCTGACTATTATGATTTCTTATGGTCCTCTAGACTACATATTCTTCACAAGTTTAGTTGTCTCAAAATATGTATATTTTGTATGTTCACTTTGCCACATTTGTTTTTCTCTGTATGTTTTGTTTTTCTTCCACTATTTCTTTCAGTGATTCAGTAGATATGTACTTTCAGTCTCCCTTTAGTGATTATCCTTACATTTTTTTTTTTTTTACTATGCATACCTAAGGTTTAACCATATTTGGGCCACATTTCCCCCAAAATAGCAGGATTTAAAACCCAATTAACTTACATGACATTTTTATAAAATATTTAATTTCTGTCATTTTTATTATTTGCATTAGAAAGTACTCCAGATATTTTATTCAGAAGATAGTTGTTTTATTTTGCCTACCATTCCTTTTGTTTATTAAGGGTTTTTTTTTTTTGCATGTATTTCATTTCATTATTCTGAAATAATGTCCTTTTGAATTATAGTCTATTCCTTAAAATATACTTAAATATACACTTTATATATTCTCTTTATATATGTTCTTTTGATAGGACAGTTCACTGCCCACTTTTGTTTACCAAAAAAAAATTGTCATACTCATCATTTCATTGTGATATATAATACACATGAAATATGAATGAAGAATATAACAAATAGATACTTAGCAAGCACCTGAATAATTTACACTGAGGTCAAAACAAACCTTACATCTGCCAAAGGAGTTCCTTTTATGTCTCATCCCAATCACATGCCCCTTCCTTCCAACCATCATTCACAATTTAATGATGATCATTTCAGTGCTTTACTCTTCAACATAGTTTTACCTCTATTTTTTGGATCCTTATGCAGTATCATTTGGTTGACTATTTTCTACTTTTATATTGCAATCATGATTTATATCATTTGTTAACTTGACCTTTCACTCAATATTATGCTTGCAAAGTTCGTCTATTTTTGAAAGTAGCTATAGTCCAAATGTTTCATTCCTTTTAGTGTTAATTTTATGTATAGGCTATTTATTGATCTATGTCAGTGAAAACATAAGCTTTATTATTAAGACTCATGCAATTATGGCTTTTTTTGCACATATTTCTTGCTGAACATGTGCCTGCATTGCTCTAAGCTGTACCCCAATAGGTGAATGTGCTATGTCCTGAGGTCTATGTGTATATATTTTTTTGAATTGAGGATATCTTACCTACTTTGCGTTTTTTTATTCTTGAATAGTCTGTACATGTCTTTCATACACTTTTTGGTTTATTTCATCAGCATTTACTTATGTAAATTTTCAGCAATTTATCAGTAGTGTGGTAGAAGGCTCAGAGGTATGCTTTTTCTCCAGTAAAACAAGTTTTCTTGGCATGAAACCAGTCTTGTAGGGAGGACCCCAATGAGTTAGTAGTTCAGATGAAGCAGTAGGTGGACTGGTAATACCTGTTTCTTGTGGGTGAACAGCCTCCTGTTTGTGGGATTTACCAGTGTCGAAGGCCAATCTGTTTATGATGGAACTTTTAGGGATTTTCCTACCCAATTAGATTGGATTGTTTCATAAAGAACTTCTAATGAGAATATCAGAATCATAACTTTACCTCACATAACTATGGACTAAAGTTCTTGGTTCCAATGAGCCAGTGAATATCAAAGGAAATTCAGGGCCAGAGGATGAAATCGGCTGTGTGTGGCCACAGATACATGCAGTTTCATGAGATCATAATCAGATGTAGGGCCAATGGCAAGTCTTTCTTCCCCCATTATCCTGGACTGCTTTCAGTGATCTTGTCGCTGAACTCCGCCTACCCCCAATGAAACTTAGCTTCTTTTTTTGGTGACTCATATACTAGCATATCAAGAATATCATTTGGATTATAAAGTCTGTCTTTAGTCGTTTGTGTTTAAATTAAATAACATTCAGCATAAAGCAATAAAGTTTTTCAGCGAAGGCTATTATAAAAATGTTATGATTGTGATGGAATATCTACACACTCAATAGTGTGTCACATTTTACAAGAATTACTATAATCCAGAGAAGACACATCACTGTGGGAATTAAGAACAGTAAAGCTATGCTCTAATTATTGCCTAATGAAATTAAAATGAATTTGGTCAACTTCCCATAATGGTATACAAAATAGTAGCTATACACTTTGCTATATACCAAAGGCCATTAGTGGGAAAAAAATTTATTTATTTTTAAAAAAGATTATTTATTTATTTGTCAGAGAAAGAGAGAGAGAGAGAGAGAGAGAGAGAGCATGTGCACACACAAGCAAGGGGAGCAGCAGGCAGAGGGAGTAGCAGGCTCCCCTCTGAGCTGGGAGCCTGTTGTAGGACTCCATCCACAGACCCTGGGATCATGACCTGAGCTGAAGCAGACCCTTAACCAACTGAGCCATCCAGGCGTCCCGGAAAAAAATATTTTAATTATTGATAATTTGTTGTTCATTCTGGGAACACTGAGTAGAGCCCTCCTCTATGATCATTAGGATCTGTGGAAATGATGGTGTGTTACGGTTGTGGATAAGCCAAAAAGAAGAGTTGTGACCTCTGCATTTTAAAGCATATAGAGCAACACACAAATATTCACATGTATTCCTCAAAATATATTTGGAATTTTTTCTACAGTTTAGGTTTAGATATGGAATCCATCTTTAATTTTGCCTTATATGGCAAAAGGGACTTTGAATATGTGATCAAGCTAAGGACTTCGAGAGTGTTAATTATCCTCTATTATCTAAGCAGATCCAATGTAATAATGACAAGAGGCAGGTCAGAGTCAGAGGACATGAGAAAATGATATTTGGAGATATTGTACTACTGATTTTGAAAGTGAAGATTCCATGAGCCAAGGAATGCAGGTGGCCTCTAGAAGCTGGAAAAGGTAGGGAAACAGATTTTCTCTAGAGCTTCCAGAGAATGAACAGCTTTCATTCTTAATTTTAGTCCAATAAGACCCCTTTTGGACTTTTATCTCCAGAATTATAAAATAATGCATGTACATAGTTTTAGGCCACTGAGTATGGTAATTTTTTCTTACAGCACAAATAGGAAATGAATACAAGACTGTCAATTCTGTGTTTCTTTTGATAGGCAAATTCCTTGAATGCATTTTAACTATTTCCTGCCAAGCAGCCTGCAGTTTTTTGAAGAGAACAGTGATTTGGCTATCATAGAAAGCCTAGATCCAATACATTGGCCTATTTTGGGAGAAATCATTATTAGGAGGTAATCTACATTCTATACCCCTTATTCACCAACTGAGCCAGCTAGATGCCCAAGAAATTACCATATTTAAAGACTATACTGTCTGTCTTAAGTGTGTGTTCCACTGGAGTTAATTAACTCTTGGTTGTCTACTTACCTTTTAAGATTTCTTTTTAGGAATACATTTCAGGACACCTGGGTGGCTCAGTTGATTAAGTGTCTAACTCTTGATTTCAGCTCGAGTCATGATCTCAGGGTTGTGGGATGGAGCCCCGTGTCAAGATCCATGCTCAGTGGGGGGCCTGCTAGAGATTCTCTCTCTCTCTCTCTCTCTAAAATAAATAAATAAATATTTTTTAAAAAAGCATACATTTCATCTTTCTGAAGATGATCTTCTATTGCCCAGTAGTGAGAAAGAATTTCTCCCAA